GTATAACTCTACTAGCGTTCTATCACGAATGCTGTTCTCTGATTGGCTATGCTACTCACTATCTATTCTGTGATAGATAGTGAGTAGCATAGCAGTGTAACTGACTTGGGCTGTGCCCTCGTCAACTATCACACAATAGAAATCTTGAGCTCATAATCTAATTGTTAATAGCGTTATTGATCTATGAGTGTTCAAGGTTGTTGAAAGAGCTAACGCCCACATTAAAATGCAGAAACTTGCTCACTTGATGTTGTGCACCACATTGGAAAAAAGGGGGAATTTTTGGTCAAAATACAAGGGGTGTTGATTTGTGGTTTTTCTCCACTGATGAGTTTCCCTGTGAAAGGCCCATTTATATTTATTTCTCTTGCCATGGCCAAACTATCTAAAAACCAAAGTCTGTGTTGTCCACTTGCTTGTCGCCATTTTTGGTGAACAAAGGATCTAGGGTTTCAGAAAAAATGGTGAATGAAACACAGGTCTCAAAAACTGTGTTCGCCACACTTGAGAAGGAACTTCCACATCAAATTTTCATTTTATTTACAAAGAAGGGACACTGAATAAAAAGGCATTACTCCACTGTATATAGTGCTGTCAATATTATTATTAAGGATAAATTATACAGAAATACATGTCTACTCCAAAGAAATAATAAGATTAAAATTTATTTTGTTATGTTTTTTTCTTTCTCCAAGACAGTGTCTTTTATTTCTAAAATGATAATTAAACATTCAATAATAATGACAACAAAAAATGTCATTAACTACTGCAAAAATGCATGTTTTATTAATTATTATTAGTTATTGAAATAATCGACACTATTGCTTCAACCACAAAATTAATATGGCACAAGTTTCATACTGCAATACATGTAACACTTTCCTCGTTTCTACCACTTCTAACAAGGAAATCTAACTAAAAGGTGCTACACCCTCTTCATATACAGCAAAGAAAAAATACAAAACATTAATTTCATTTTCACAAGTGTGATTGGTCTATAGATGTGTATTCCATACTCTATTGATAACAGATTGTCAATAACTGTTGAAAAATGTCGATAAACCTGTCCAACCTTGCCAAGCCATAAGGTTTAAGAAGTGACGACTATGAAACAAGTCTTTAGTATAAAGACCACCAAATACTGTCCACAAATCTGGATCAATGTTATTAATAATTATTATCATAAAAAATTGGTCCTCCTAGAATTGCTATGAAACTTTGACAAATGCCTCATGCCTTATCTCCTTGGAGGAGGTGGTGGTGGAGGTGGAGCGCCTCTTGATGGAGGAGGTGGAGGTGGGTTAGCTCTCACCCCACTTGGAGGATTTCCAGAAGACTTTGCACCACCTGAAAATAAAGATGGCACTTGAACCACGCTTCAAAACACTTTTTTTTTCCTGGACACACTTTAACACAAGTCTTCTTTGCATGCTCTACAGGAAAATAGCTTTCATATGTGGAATTTAATAAGGTTTAAGACATGAATCACAAAATCATTTGGATCGCTTTGCTTGTTCAAAGTATTTGTCGTAAACCCTCGATCCAGAACAGTTTTGTCCAGCGTACTATTAATGAGTAATGGCAAATTGGATGGACAACCTGACACAATGCTGGGAGTTAACTTGCAATAAACTAGGGCATAGCAATACTCATAGACACCTTGCACCACAGGAAATGGGAGATACATTAAGTTTCAGCTTGGTGGGCTACTTTCAGTAGAGGCAGAGACTTCGTCCACTTAAATATTTTGGGGTCTTGCTTTGGTTTACATGTGAACACTGGAAGACTGCACTTAGTTATTTCTAGTACACCATGACCATTTCTTGACAAGGATTACTTCTGATCTTTTTCGTGCAACTTTCATAAAACTTACCACTCTTCTTTGGATTTTTACTTGGATATGTTTTTGCTGTTTCTACATAAGGCTCTGGTGGAGGTAGATCTGAACTAAATGAAAATCTTGCTTCAAAGTCCTCTGTAAACAGAAAAGGAACGTAATCAAAAATTGAAAGTCAAATAGATAGCCTCGGCTGTCATTAAGTTTTGAGTCACATATTGCCTTGGTCCTCACACCTGTAACAAACTTGTTACTTTGGGGATGAATTGTGCCAAGAACAGGCAAGTTCACCTGTAACATCAAGGGCTCGTCAAGAATACTCAGCCGTAACGGGTGTTACAGGTTACAGCCCTTAATGACAGTCCTGATAGCAGAAGAGCTTCCTGTGCTCAACCCATTTCTTCTTTGGCAGGAGCCCCCCACAACAACCCCCTTCACTATCTCATTTCTTGAATGTTATGTAGTTCATATAAATATTATCTTATCAGTCAAGTGCCAGAGCCATCATCTGGAATATTGGCCTGAGGTCTTGAGAGTATGGACCTAGTGCAGTGAGGTCTACACAATAAAGACCACAGGCCGATATTCTCCCAGGATGATGCCTTTATCCCAGTAACTGAAAGCGAAGCATCATTAATTATGTTACCTTCAAATACGCTTGTCATTGCCTCTGGGGGAGGAGGTGGAAGTGAATTTCTAGTTGGTCCGTTCATCATGTTATTTGATCTACTGGATGATGCAGGTGGTGGTGGAGGCGGAAGCCCTGATCTCTTAGTCTCCATTGTACCTCTAGACGGAGGTGGAGGAGGCGGTCCTAGCCCTCCTACTGGAGAGGGAGGCAAAGGAGCTGATCCTCGACTTGGCGGTAGTCCAGAACTCCCCTTCTGGGGAATTTTATTGGGAGGTGGTGGTGGAGGCGCTTGTGATGGTGGCCTTGATGATGGTGGTGGAGGTGCCCTACTTGGAGGTGGAGGTGGTGGGCCACCCCTTGACGGAGGAGGTGGTGGTGGACCTCCTCTTGGGGTAGGAGGTTGTGAAGAAGCCACATTTGGATTACTTCTCATAGGCGGTGGAGGTGGAGGTGCAGTTGTTCTTGGAGTTGAAGATGGTGGTGGTGGCGGAGGCCCCCCTCCTCGTCCAGGGGGTGGAGGTGGAGGACCTTGCCTCATTGGTGCTGACGGTCTTTGTCCACCCCCTGGTAGTGGAGCTGGTGGTCTTTGTCCACCCCCTGGTGGTGGCGCTGGTAAAGGTCTTGAGCCAGTTCCTGATGGAGGTGGTGGAAGAGGCCTAGAGTTGTCAGATGATGATGGCTTCATAGATGGGGGTGGTGGCGGAGGAGCAAAGCCTGGAGCTTTACCCGGTGGAGGAGGGAGTGGTCTTGAATTACCGCCTGGAGCAGGAGGTAGTGATGAACTGGAATTGTTTGGTGAAGGTGGTTTGAAGCCTGGTGGTTTCATAGCTGGTCCTTTGGCTCCTAAATACAACACAAAACAGGTTACTGGTTGAGTGAAATGCAGGAATCAGCAACTCACACCACCAGCCAAAATGTTCACATGTTCAAGAATTGTCTTCTAGCAGGTTTGAAACTAATTTAACATGTAACACAAGAATGCACAGAGTTCCAGTAAGGAATAACGAGGAGGAGGAGGAAGAATTCAGTTCACCACAGATTTAACATTTAAAATTTATTAATTTTACCCTCGGCAGAGTTATTGCTTAAGTGTCATTGTCTGAGAAAGTGTTCCAGGGGCCAAAAGTTGTGGTCAACCGATTTGGCTGAAACTTGGCACAGAAGTTGGGTGCAATGAGATATT